GACATGTAACCAGATAGTTGAACAGATTATACTTTGAACACGAACCGCAAAAGGAAAAGAGCATTGTTGACGGCTATCACGTTTAGTTGCGAATCCAAATACTAAGTAATATCCAGATATTAAATGACTCCTGAGATTAAATTATGCAGACTAAAAAAAAATAAAAATAAAAATAAAATTATGCAGACTATAGCTTCATCCCTTGTATTTTCAACAAAAATATTCACTTGAATCCATAAGACCGTTAGAACTAATACCCTACTTACATTATATACCAGTGAACAAGCACAAGCATCTGGACACGGTCAGAACCCCTAGCACAGTATCTTCCCTAATCTGTGTGACAAAGGAATATAAAAGTCATATACAGTTGTTTGGACATATCGGCTTTACAGCACAATTGGGGAAATATGAATATATAATGAGTATTAAATGAGATGAAAATATGTTAAAATTGGAAGCTTATTAATTAGAGCAGATTACAAGGCATTATGTTTAGCAAGGTTTTATTTTAATAAAATTCATGCATAAAAATGATTCAGAGTCATATAAAATACAGTGCTAACTATGGCCATCTCAAGGTAAAGGACTGTTGTAATTTTATTGTTTCATTTTGCTTATCTCCACACTTAATATGCAATGAAGTACACTGCTTTTGTTTTAAATGAGATGAGGATTAAATTTTAGATATTAGAAAAAAGCAGGAGAGACAAAGAGATAAGATATAATTCATTTCAGGCACTCGGCTTTAATCCAATCCAAATAGATGGAACAGAAAGAGACCACAGTAGCAACAAATAACCAAAAGAAAAAAAATAAAATTAGGCTCATGAATCAGTAGAAGGCACTTATTTAATATCCCTGACCTTGATCCTCAGCACCACACACATAAAAAAACCCCAGTATCTTAATTCTTGGTAAACATAACAGATTTTTGTTCATTTTAGCAAGGAAAAAGTGGAGATGGAGTTCAAAACAATAAACTAGACACACACACAAATAAGCTAGACACAACAAAGATTAATACAACTATGATAAGCAAAAACTCATAATAATTCAAAAAATATTTCAAAGAAAAATAATCAAGAGTCGAACTGGTAAAAATGCGAATTTGAAAACATCAACTAATCATGAAGTAATTAAAATGGGACTGAGAGACTCTCCTCCTACTGAGTCCCAGATTCGTTAGTATTAATGTCGAGTTCTAGTTTATTTTGCTTAGAATAGTTCTTCTTGTTCCGTGCATGCTCTTTTGTCCTGGAACAAGTATTAATAATGTCTATTTTTCTAAAATGTGCCCTGGTTACATAAATCATAGATGAACTGCATGATTAACTTAGATCTAGTAAACTGTGAAGGAACAGTGAATTCTTGTAAGGTACGAGATGCTCCAAACCACAGAAAATGAAAAGCTGACAAAATGATTTTAGGAGGGACATGTTATGGTGATTTCAAAGTCAGACAAAAACAATAAAAAGCAGAAAACGATAGGCTATATCTCCTCTGTAAGTGCATGTCAAAATCACAAATAAAATTTTAGATAATCGAATCTACTAATATGTTAGTAATTGACATATTTTAAAATGGGATGATATTGCATCATAAGTCTAATTTAACTGCATTCAAAGATGAGCTAGAACTATGATCACCTCAAGTAATACAGAGAACTCCTTTATAAATTTCAAACACCAATTATAATAGAATACCTTAGCTAAGTGTGAAGAGACAAGAATTTACTAAACATGTTAGGGATTAAATGCTGAAATCTTGTGGCAAATATGTTTAGCCAAGGATATTTAGATATTAAAATTCCTTTAAGATCAGCAAGAAAACAAGAGTCCCAACTGATACTGTGCATATTTATTGTAGCAGTGGAGAGCCAGCTGATGCTACTGACCAAAGAAGTTAGTTCTCCAGCTCTTTGGAAATCAACAAGATAATTCAAAGGCTCACGGAAATAAATGAGCAAAGAATAGATAAAATAACTTGGAAAACAAAGTTATAAACCAAGGGGATAAAATAAAAAATAACTTACAAGATTACATGAGAAAGTGTCCTGGAGAATGGGTGAGGAAAGTATGTGTGTGGCTGGATTTTAAATTTATACCCAAATAGTTTCCCAAAGTGTTGTACAATTTTAATATACTTCCACTGATTTTGGCCTTTGGATGTTCATTTCAAGCATTTGGCTTGATTTCTGAGTTTTTCTTAATGAGTGTAAGAATTCTTTATGTATCCAAGGCCCAAGATATTTATCAGTTATATGCTTTGAAAATAGCTTCCACATTTTTGACTTGTCTTTTTTTCTTTCTAAGGGCATCTTTTATTCAATAGATGTTCCTAATCTTAGTAAGTCGAATTTATCAGTCTCTTCCTGTACAGTTACTATAATCCATGTCTTACTTAAGAATTTCTTGCCTACCTCAAGGTAAACATTATCTCATGTGTTCACTCTAGAAAATGTGTTGCTTTCTCACTACTGTTAAGATCTACAATCCATGTGCAACTGAGTTTAGGTGTGAAGGAGAGGTCAATGACAAAATAGCCCATTATTGAAAATACTCCTTTCCTCCACCAATTCTCTAGGGCACTTTTCTCATGTAACCATGTAGGTTACTTTCTATTTCATTCTCTTGGTTTGTTTGCACAGTGCCACATGTTCCTACTTACTTTCTTAATATCCGAAATTTAAGTCTATATCACAAGAGGAATGGTTATGGGAAATCAGACTTAATCTAATTCTACTGGGCATAGTGAACGATGTGCAAGTTAGGGATATATTACTACAAAGTTGACCATGTTTTAAGCTTAAGCATTTTAATTATTTCACTTATACCCATTGAGATGTCAATTCACAATTTATTACTTTTCTTACTTGTTTAACAAAATTTAAGAATATTTGTCTCTGACCTACTGTCATTAATGCAGATCCCTAATTTGTTTTGGTAGTTACACCGAGCTTACTCTCACCTTCTGTCATTTTAAAATAATTCTTTATCAGGTTTACTCTGATACTCTGTTCTTCTATGCTTGCCCCTGACAGTACATGCAGCATATAAAATAAACCACATCCTTCACCATGCCCCAGGAGGATTAGATTAAATCTAATTTCTGATAAGCATTCCTCTTTCGGTGTTCTCCAGTAGCAGGATCTCTGTAACACTTGCATTCCAGTATTGGTTTGCCTTTGAGTTGTATTAATGTTACACATCTACAAATGCAAAAAACATATACACAGCCAAGCACTGATCATATATTCAGATGACTGCAAAACTTTAAAAGAACATTGGTTTTAGAGGCAAAGCCTTTGAAAACATTCTATTAGGATGATCATGGTAGATATTAGTTAAAACAGATCATATAACAACTTCACAGATTGATGACTAGTCTTAGTAGCTTGCTTTTCTGTGTGCTTTAAATTTCCAGCTCTCCTATTAGCTTAACCCCACTGATGTGTACTATGAAGTAGTCAATATGTAGAGTTTCATAGTATGAGGTTTCAATTAGAAAATTTTCTTTCATGGCCCCATAAATTTCTTTATGAATTTAATCAATTGTTTAAGTTATGCTATTTTAAAAAATGAAGCCAGTACCTATAAAATATCTCCATCTTCTCAAATAGTGTTTCCAGTTATAGAGTGTAAATAACCTATCAACTAAAATTTCATTATGAGATGCTCATTGGAAGATACATATAAAATGATTAATTTGTAAGGAACTGGGCTAAATGTGTTTCACATCATGGGACAAATGCTCATCTCCTACCCTCTCGGTATTAATGCTAATGTTTTCTGTGTGCTGGTCATTTGAATGGTAGCATATTTATTCCATGTCAATGCATAGAAAAGAAACATCCTTTTGTCACATTTGTTATGTTGGCTCAATTATTAGTACTTTCCATTTGCAATGCTAATTTTCAGATTGTATATCCATGATTTAGTCTTTTTCTAAACCATCCTTTCTTAACTTCCACACCGAATACCTAATTGTTCCCACAAGTAGGTTTGATCCTGTATCTTGTAACTGTCTGATTGTAACTGTCTAGTTGTTGTGGGTTTACACAGGTGAAGCCTGTGGCCATTTTTTAGACATCGTGGCATTTACACTGAGGCAACAAGATATCAAGCAAGCTGTCCAGTTCCAAAGTAGCCTCCAATTTAATTCTAATTTTGATCTCACCTAAATCACGTTTCTGCAATAGTTACAAAACAATATTTGTCAACATTTCTATATCATAAGAGTTGCAGTTATAGCCTCAGTGTGAACCCTTCCTACCATAGTGTTCAGTAACTCATGTATGTATGCCGCACACAAGTGCTAAGGGTAATCACAGCAAGCATCATGACGATTCATTAACAGTTCCCTCCAGTTAACTCAGGGCTGAGGAACCCAACAATAGGTGATCCTTCAGATTGTGCTATTTAATACGTGGGCAATATAGATTTCTGTCTGTGGGAGGATTTGAAATTTTCTATTTTTAAAAAATATTTAAATGATGAAGAAGAAGGGGGTCACAGTAAAAAAATGTTTACCCCCCTCAGTCAATAAGTCTGAAGCTTTTCCTCCATATTCAGGAAAAGTTATGGTCAGTATGACATTCTGTAAGATAAGAAACTCATTTTTAAAATGATAAGCTGCCATTTAAAAGTTAATGGTTGGGACGACTAAGGAGAAAGAAGAAACAGTCCATTGATCTGGTCAGTCTGATTAAAACTTTTTTCTGCATCTTGGGTTCGTTTTCGCGTTACCGTCTGGAGACTGTTAGGGGAGCTACAGCCCAGAAGTCAGTCACTAGCACTGGTCTCGTGTGAATCGCATGCCTGAATTACTGCTCTGAGTCTGACAATAGTGTGACTTAACAGCAATACCTAGAGCAGCCTTCGCAGCAGGATGACAGTCCAGCTTGTCGTTGGAAACTTTTTACATAGCTGTTGTCTCTAGTGAGGAGCTTTCTTCAGGGACGAGAATGTTATTTCACGATCTGACCACACGGTAGCGTAATGAGCCTACGGAAGGAAATTAGCAAACCATGTCAGGTTTCATGTGTCTGGTAAGAAGCTAGGCTCAAATGCACAGCATTTCTGAACATTAATTTAGAGAAAGAAAATCATGCTTATTAAATGCACTTAACCTTAACTTTTATAGAATCAATGTAAGGCACTGGAAACCAGTGGTTTGTTTAACTTAGCTAAGGAATTCTTTTGGATAAGATTCATTCTATTTGGCCAGAAAAGTGGGAATGGTGTTTGTAGGGTTTTGCAGAACTGTTGAATTACTATAGGAGCACAGTGATTCCCACATCAGGTTCTAAATGTTCAGGATTCCAAACGTTGGAATAATGTGATCCAGGCAGCCTTCAAACACCATCTAAGTGCCATTTCAGCCAAAGCAAACCCTTCTGGTGATCCAAATAGCAATGCCAACAGTATTTATGATCCAATAGTTATCAGGTCCTAGGTAACATTGGCTTCAGTGAGCCTCTTTGGCTTACCTTAGATGTTTCCTGTTAAAAAATAAACTTTCTGATAGCACGTATATATTATTTATGGAATTATTTGATCCTTAGTATAAGAATTATAAGTGATATTGCTGATCAGATGACATGGAAAACCATTTAAGTATGCAACTGGAAGGCAGAAATAGTATTAATTGTGTGTGTGTGTGTGTGTGTGTGTGTTACTGGGGACTGGACCCAAAGCCTCCATATTGAATTACATCTCCAGCCCTTTTTCTATCTGTTTTGAGACAGGGTCTCACTAAGTTGCCCAGGTTGGGCTCAGACTGTGCTGATCCTGTCTCGGCTTCTCAAGAGTGCGAAGCATTCTCTATATTCTTGGAGTGCTCTTTTTTTACTCTTTTTGATGTTCAATTTTCTAATTTGGGGATATTTTATATTTCTGGAACTGTGAATAGGAGCCTTTGGGTAGGCCCAATTGGACTTCCATTTCCCCAGTCCAAACCTTAGCAGCTCTTCTTGTGCAAATCCATTTAGCTAGTTCATATTATCTGGCGTGCCATTTCCCCAAATTGCACAATTTGGGGAAATGGCAGTGACTACAGTCAGCAGTGTTTCCATGTGACATTTTTGTTCTCAGTGGTGTTGGAGAGTGCTGTTCTTCCAGATCTGGTTTACAGCATCATGTTAATTATCAGTATCAATATTCTTCTTTAGATTGATGGGCAATTTAAAAATTCACATAACTGCTGAGGGCTGCTAGTTATTCATAAGAATGAAAATCCTGAAAAAGAATGTGGCATCAACTGTATGGTTTCCATTTTCATTTCTGATTTAATCTGTTTGGGTCTTCTCTCTTTTCTTTTTAGCCCAGTTTTAAAATTTATTGTTTTGTCTTAAAAAAGAAAAACAATGTTCTGTTGACTTTGTATTTTTAGTGTCTATTATTCATTTCTGATCTTTGTTATTTCTTTCCTGCTGGTGCTTTTAGGTTTGGTTTTCATCTGTGTGAAGTATCTTTTCCTGTACCTTCACTTTCAGTCAATGCACGTCCTTTTTGGTGAGATGAGTTTCTTGTAGGCAGCATATTATATTTGGTCTTTGTTATTTTCCCATTCTGTTAGGCTAAATCTTTAATTGCAGTTTAATCCATTTATCCTCAAGGGCATTATAGATGGGTAAGGGCTTACTCCTATTAATTTGGTATCTTTTCTGATTATTTTGCAATTCTTTATTTCTCCTTTTGTTTATCTCTGCGGTTTGGTGGCTTCCTATTTCAGTAAGGTTTTTTTGTCTTGTGTGTGTATTTTACTGAGGAGTGTTATACTTTGTCATTTTTTGTGATTTTTAGCTACTGTTCTTTTACTTTTAGTAAAGGGGCTTCTAATAAAGACACATGTTTAAAGGTGATTTATTACAGTTAAATATTAACTTTCTCATTACTTGCTTGTTTAAGTCATTCATTCATTCAAATTCATTCACACAAAATGCCAATGGTTGTAACTTGCCTTTGCTTCTTACTTGGAAGGCTGCCTACCTCGGCATGGTGGATTGATAACTGGTGGTAATTTGTAATACCATCTGAACTGAATCTGCATGGTGATGAGCATGGATGGCCCACCTGAGGATTGTTGCCAAGATAGAAAGAAGAACTGGAGAGGAAGAAGCAGTGCTGTTGATTCTCCATGGTGTTGTTTTCTGTTGCCACTGGCTCTCCTGGAGGGGCTTGTTCAGCCTCTTTCTTGATGTGAACTTGGCTGTTCTCATAGTCAGAGGACTCTGGGGCCTTGATGTCACTGAGAATGGCTGCAGTTCACCTTGGGGGAGCTCTGATCTTGCCTTTACCACTTTCTGGCTCTGAAGGGGAAGAGGCTTGTCATGGTGGCTTCCTGATATGAACTTGGCTGCTCTCATCTTTGAAAGAGCTTGGATCCTTGTTGTCCACTGAGGATGGCTGTGGTACTTTTTGGGGGCGCCCTAGTCCTTACTTTGAGCATCGCTTCCTGGCTCCAATTCAGAACCCTCAACCTACTGGCACAGATTCCTCATCCCTCTGGAACTGATTTTCTGGCTTTCACTGCTGACCTTTGGGCCTTCCCAGCACAGGTCCATGAAATAGACTCACATGAGTCATTGTCGTGGGCTCTAGGTCTTCAGCTGGACTCATGCAGGACATTGCTGTGGGATCCAAGATCCTTTAGCTGGATTCCTTGGGTCTTAGTATGTGGAAGGATTTCCAACTTCTTTTATTTAACTCTTTAGGTGACTGTTATAAAGTAATTCTGTAAATTATGTGTACTGTATTGTAATCATTTTCCTTGCAAACCTCTTATTACAACACTTGGCATGAGTGTTTCAGGAAACTCTTTCACATTTATGCAAAATTCTGAGTTGAGATATGTGATACATGCTATCCTTCTGCTTGACTAACCTCAGCATCTTCCATTCTTTTTACCTCATTGCACCCAACCCTGGCTCATGTCCAAAACTAACAGAGGAAAGGAATTGTCCTGCCACAGTGGTCTCTATTCAGTCACTTGCAACACGGCTCTCCATTTTGCAGCGTATCAGTTATGAAGTCCTATTTAGTGATCATTGCTATCCTTTTTATATTGGCTCAAAAAACTCCAGGTAACTCAAGTTTCTCTCAAAGGTTCTGGGATCTTTTATGTAGTATTAGTATCTTAGTGACTTCTGAGATGACTCTTACTTGGGCACAGTAGGCAGTACTTAAAAGCCTTTTCTGGTTTCAGGTTGAAAATGTTATCCCTGAGGTCCATCACCTAAGGATCTCCTCTGGTTCTTCCGTGACAAGGGAAATTTAAGAGATAGCTTTTACTCCAGGCGTAGTGGAGAGTCAAAGCATGAAACATTTTAGGTAGAGCTGCCACTGAGATGGGAGCTTGACTCATGCGTTAGGTTTAAGAGACTGTGTACAAGTGCAGAACTGTGTAAGAGGAATGAAAGGCTGTTTGGTTTTGGATAGTGAGTTGTAGTGGGAGATTGTAAAACCTTAGAGACAGCGTAATAGTGGGAAAATGAATGGATATGAGCATGGAATGAATGAACATAGAATTTAGCTTGACTGATGTTTTAGTGTATTCTAGAGAGGGAACAGTATCCTTTGTTGAATGAAGGGAGGGTTGAATTGGGTAAATGAAGCTGGGAGAAAGATCTGTAGTTGGACTACGTTTTGAATTGATGCTAAAAATTGGGATTGAATGCCTTTTTAATGTTATGTTTTATAATTGGGATGTGAGAGGTTATCAGAAGATGTGGGCCTTGAGTTGAAGTTAGATGTTCTACTCAAATGAGTGACTTATTCACCTAAGCCGTATGTAATATTTGCTGAGGAAGTGCTGGTTTGGTCAAGGTTCAGCATGAAGTTTTTTAAGACAGCTTAATTCATCGTAGCAGGTCTGTGGCTACCGGAATGGGGAGAATATTAACCATTTATCGAGTGCGCAATTTGAAATATTTTCTCCCCTTCTGAGTTTGCTTTCTCATTTTTTAAATGAATTTCTTTTTTTGTGTGGAAGCTTTTGAGACTGATGCAGTCCCACTTGTTTATTTTTGATTTTGTTGCCATGATTTGAGGTTGTATCCAAAAAATCACTAAAGCCAATGTTAGCAAGATTTTCCTTATGTTTTCTTCTAAGAGTTTAAGTTTATAATCTATTTTGAGTTGATTTTTGTGTGTGGTGTAAAGTAGAGGTCAGTCTCATTATTTTGCATGACATTCTCCAATTTTCCCAACATGACTTCATTGAGATTTTGCTGTTATGAGTTAGTATTCAAGATCTTCTGTATAGCTCTTATTTAACACAGTTTCTTTGGTTTGTTTATTTTCTGAGACAGGATCTCACTATGTGACTCAGGCTGGCCTCGAAGTCATGGCAATGCACCTTCCTTAGCCTCCTAGAGCATGCACCAGCACACTCAGCATGCTACTTAACGACATTGTGCTGTACATTTTTTAAACTGATGAACATAAATCTTAACAATATTTGTTAAACAAAAAATAACTAAATTAGAATGGGGAGAAAGTTTTCAAGGTAATGATAGGTTTATAGCATAGATTCTGATGCTGGTTACATGGTTGGATACTTACTTCCAAACTCCTCAAGATGTAAAACTCAAATATATACTGTATGTGCATATTGATCAATAAAGTGGCTTAAAAAGAAATGAGAATAAACACTATTGAAAAATATCTGGGACTACTTTCAAATTCTGAGGAAGTTTCTTGAGTGCAACTTTTCAGGGGCAGTGAAGGACCATAGAACTGTGGGCAGTGAAGATAAATGAAATCAAGAATCTGGAATGTTCCCAAGTGTCACTTATCAAAACTTGGGATGCACAGAGAGACAGAGAGCAATCTCAGCCCAGCTCTATGGAAAACTAGGGTTATTCTTTCCTTAGAGAGGCCGAGGTCAGAGTCAGTGTGTCTGAAGTTCTTTTCCCTGCCCCCTTTCTCTTCCTCCAACATTTTCTCATTCACCTGTTCCTTCCTTTTCTGTCTACATCCTCTTCATATTTCCCTACCCACTTCTCTCCTTCCTTCATTCTCTTTTCCAGAGACATTTATTATGCTTATAAAGTTCATTTGCCACATTGAGAAAGCAGTAGAAACCACAGGTGGGCCTGAAAAAAAAAAGCAGACACACAAAAATGAAGACAGCACTCCATGCTTCAGAAGTTGTACGTAATGTTACTTCCTTAATAACCGTTTAATATTTCATCTGGTGGAGTTTATGGAAAGGAACTGTTCCAGATCATCTTTTCCGCTGGGGCAATCAAAGTTATTGCTTTCTTTTTATCACCCCAAAATATGCATATGAAATCAAACTGTTCAAATGTCAAGAGTCTGTCTCAACTTTATGTATCCTTGTTGAATTGAGGGCTTTGAGGAGGATAAATTTTGACGGATGTTTATTGAATGAATGAATGAATATATAAATGGCTACAGCTGATACATGTATACGGAAAAGACACTCAATGGGGGTGGTGCACAGTGGCAGAGGAATAATGTCACATCGATCTGGGGTCCAGATGGAGCTGTTAGAAAGCCTTTTTGTTCTTTAAATTTTTTTGATGTTTTAATTTTCTCTTACAAAAGTTCCCCTGTGCAGTGTCTGTATTTCAATGTGAGAAGGTTCTGAAGGGCTGTGGCTTTCATGTCAAGCTAGAGCCCATGAGTAAATATTGAATAATTCTTAAAAAGCATCCTTACCCTGACTTTTCCTGAGACCTACTGAATCAGAACTTCTAAGAGTCCTGGTGTAAATACTCTTAATAATTCCCCACGTAATCACAAAGTATGACATCTTTTTTTACCTCCTGCACAGCTGAGAGCTCACGATCTGCTGCAAACTCTCCCTCTCACCTCCTTTTCCCTCATAGGGAGACCGGGTTCAGAGAGCAGACAAACAACATTGCCTAAAGGAGCAAAGACTGTGCTAGGGCTCAAAGTTAGGTCTCCTATGATTTCAGTTTACAGATGGAAGGATCATCAAAGGTGATCTTAATATGATGTGGGTGTTAAAATTTGTGGTAGTGCAAGGCAATGTAGGAGATGTTTATAAGTCCATGACAAAGTCTTTATTTTTAAAACTATTTTTTTTTTGAGTCACCATAGGTGACTCTTGGGGCTGCCATGTGCAGAGAGTAGAGAGAAGGCAGCTTGCCTGGTCCGCATTCCTGGGCTCCATACTCCTACCTATTCTTTACAGAGAAGAGAACTTATATGCCTTAGCTTCTAGCCAGTGTATTTGGGGAAAAGGAAAACACATTAAGGCTCAGAATAATGTAATAACAATCTGAGAAGGCTCTGAGGGTGTCCTCCGATAGAGAGAGAGAGAGAGAGAGAGAATAGAGAGAGACAGAGAGGCAAAGACAGAGGCAGAGACAGCATTATGAACTTGCGTGGGGTGAGGTGGGACACACAGTGGTACCACGATGCTGGAGAGTAAACAGTGACTGGTGCCTTTCTTTGAACTGACCAGCAGACTGACTGATGTAGCAATCTTGTGCTTTCTCCGGATTTGTAGGACACCAAGAAGCAAGCATAATGGATGTCTTCCACCGAAGCATTTTTCTTTTCTTCTGTATTTCCCCTCCTACTCTCCACTTCACCTAAACTTGGAAACTTTTATTTTCTTGTTAAAAAGTTCACAAAATTTCCCTTTTGATGTCATACCACAGCAATTTATGTGCGCCCATGTTTATAGTGGCACAATTTATAATAGCCAAATCTTGGGAACAAATGCCCATCAACCAAGGAATGGATAAAAAGATATGGCATTTTTATACAATGGAATACTACCACTCAGCTATAAAGAAAAACTCAAGGCATTTATAGGTAAATGGATGCAACTAGAGACCATACTCATAAGTAAAATAAATTAGACTTGCAAGTGTAAACGTTGTATTATCTCCTTAGTGTAAGACACTGAAAGAGTAAATAAAATCCAAAATGCACAATAGATACTGTGAAAGGAGAATAAGCTGCTCAAAAGGAAAGAACTGAGAATGGAAAAGGAGAAGAGAAGGAAGGGAAACACACACACACACACACACACACACACACACGATAACCAATAGTTCATGGAAAGGAAGTTAGTGCTTATATTGTTTGATCAATTTGGCATGCCTCTATCTAGTAGTCTGAACAACTATTTTGAAAATAACAACATGCACTTTAATAACTGTTGTTAATTTCCTACCGTCTTGTTTTGAAATCCTATATCATTTTGTTGTTTTTTAAAAATTCTCTTCAAAATAAAAAAATTTCCTTTTAATTTTTATGCAGGAAATAATATCAGACTTTCTTTGATTAATGGTTATAATGAATTAGTTTTGTGATTAGAATTAAGGGCAGTGAGGTCGTAGCTTAATGAGGGTTGAGAAGTGGGTGTGGGATGAAGACCTGAGTGGATGCTTGTAAGGTCCTTGATATTAAGTTAAGGGTTTGGACTTTGTTGAAAGCTGCAGAGGCACATTCCTGCAGACATGATGAGGGAGAAGACTCCCTGTGAAATTCTGTCACGGAGAGGGAACATGATCCACAGAGAAAACAGCATGGGCTGATGTCCTGTAGCCAAGACACTGAGTATAAGCTTGTCCAGGGACAAGCCATGGGAATGTGGACAAAACAGTCTTCTTGATCCTCAGAAAGGTTTTGATCCTCAGCAGGTTTTGATGAACATTCAGTGCAATAATATTTGTAAAATGCCTGGTACATGGTGGGTGCTGGACCACATCATGGTGGATGGTTGTTAATATTATTTTCTAATACCTCCTTTGTCTGTGAGAGAGCCAATAGATAATTAATGATCTTGATAGCTAGTATTTTTTAAATGATGATTAAATGTCAAGAACTTTGTTGCTCAGTATTTTCAGGCAAAGAGCCTGCACATATCTGGAGGGCTGCTGCATAGCTGTTAAGATGGGTTTTCACCACATGTGGAAGTATGTGGTGGAGATCTGAACAGAGAACACAAATGGATGGCTCAAGTAATGTGTGAATGTGGCTCTTTGGGTAGAATGAGCTGTGCCAATGTGCTACTCATGTATACACGTCTCCTGTCCCTGAGTGGCCCAGGTAAAGATGAGTATGGGTGAAACACGTTTACATCTACGTTTCAAAACATAGGGGCAGGTACGTACATGTGTCAAATTTGCGTGTCCTGTCTCAGAAGATCCTGGCTGTCTCTGATGAGCTGCACGAGAAGGACATGGGACTTTGGAACATGTACAGTATGTGCTCCCAGTGGCAGCCGTGGAAGCTCTAGACCAGTGGTGGCAAACTTATGACACGTGTTCCTTTGTGTTGGTGTGTGAGCCAAGTAACCCCAGACGCCCCAGCCAAGTTTTGACAAATTATCAGCATACATACAATAGCAAAGATCACATTAATTATGCAAAAGCTTGCAAATTTTTACCTTGTAATAAAAAACTGTTTCATTGAAAGGTCTATTACTGTGTTTTTCTTTTAAGACAAAAGATGTTAATGATGCTATAAATAAGTGGGTTTGGGGTTGCATTTTGAGCACTCAGTTTCTACAAGGTTTGCCATCACTGCTGTAGACCCTCAGGAAAGACAATATTAGCAATGCAATCTAACATTTAATCACTATATTCCAGATGCTTTTCTGAGTGTGCCAGATAATATATGCTAATTTAGTTATAAGGAACTTTATAAACTTAAATCTTGTCATTCCTGCTCAAAAAGTGATGCACTGGAGGTCTAGGGGGCTGAAGGAAGTGCCCAGGGATGGAGCTAGTCAATAACAAGGCCCAAAATGGAATCCAGGTTGTCTGACTCCAGGCTCTCTCCTCTTAACATCCTTAGGGATTGTTCTCTTGTAGTCAGGCTTTCTTACTCCTGTTGTTACTGCTGCATGCAAACTAAACATGGCTATGTCTTCCCCAGGTGACCTGTTCAGTGCCTTTTACAACAGGAACCCAGAACGTTGGAATCCATGTGAGCTGAATCAAGGGAGGTGCAAAACCAACTGCAACAAGCGTGAAATTCAGTACTTACACTGCCTAAATAATAAAAAGTGCTGCCTGAGTCTTTATATGAAAGTAAAGACCTAGTTCTAATGCTGTATAAAGGAATATGGCTTCAATTACAACTCATCAGTTAAAAAAACTTCAAGTTACTCTGAAGTTTGAATCTCAGCAACGTCACTCCCTCTTGTAGCAATTCTTCTCTATTCTGGAACTCTTTCCCATAAAAGTGCATTCTTGCTCATGTGTGTGTCTTTCATCTGTGAGCAGTCATCACTGACAGGAAAGGTTAGGCTGGAGGCTGGGAAGCCATGAAGTACAGGAAAAGGCACAAGCCTAAAAAGCAAGTATGACTCTAGAATAGCTCAGTGGATACAGAGGACATGAAGAAAGTCCCCTTATGGAGGTGCAGAAGGGAGGTGGCAACTGGATTGAGTCTGAATGATTCAGTGAATGTGAAGGATACATCTTTAGGTCCTCCCTCTAAACATAGAAGTCTCAGGACAGGGGCTAAAGAGTGGCTTTTGGTATTCATGGAGCTAACCTTGTCTGCTAGGTACCATGCAGTGTCCTCAGGAAAGGCCAGAACCAGACAGATGAATGGAACTGAATGTAAGAATTTGTTGGAGAAATTAGGGTAAAACTTTCTAAGTGGTTATGTTTCTCTCATTGATGGGATAAAATACCAGACACCAAAATGAAGGAAGGAAGGGCTTATTTAGCTCACTGTTTGTAGAGATTTCACTCCATAATCAGCTGGCTCCAAGGCAGGGTGACCTGGCACTGGGGCAACACTTCAAGGTAGCAGCCAGCAAAATCAACCGGAGCAAAAGGCTGAGAATAAGTTTCTTCTCTTCCCTTATATTGTAAGCAGGCTACCCACCCTCCAAGGGCAGGTAGCAATCACACCACTTCTGTGTCCTCCACTTTCACAGGGTGAGGATATTTACTGGCTCCCTGATGAGTAAGGATCCTGGCTCCCTGCTGAGCATCTTAAATTTCTAAATTTCTTAAGTTGATCCAATGCATCAACCATAACAATCCACCCCTTGTTAACTTGTCAAACAGCCACATTTCTTTAAACTAGTCAAGATACAAAGACATGCTTATTCTTATCGTTTCACAACTTGAACATTATTACACAGCTTTAAGCCTTTAGAACCAATATAAATTCTATCAACACCATATTACATTAGAATCATAACATTTTGCCCCATACCCCCAAATACTCATACACATCCTTTTATGAAAAAGGCATTTAGTCCTTCTGCAAGAGTTACCAAAGTTCTAATGGTTTCAGCCTTGCTGAAAAGCTCAAGTCCCAAGTCTCTGAGATGAAAGGCAAGTGCTTAGCTGCATAAATGCATCTCTGACATGGAAGACAAGCTCTTAGATGTCAAATGAAAACAAAGTTAGACACTTCCAACACTCAGCGGCACAAGATAAACATTTTCATTCAAATAAAAAGTTACAAACAGGAGGACAAAAAGGATTGGGACAAAAGTAAGTCCAAAATCTAGCAGGGCAAACATTAAGTCCTGTAGCTGCATGTTCATCATCAAAAGCAACCTGTGGCACATTGTTAGCTCCAAAGGGCTTGTGTAACTCCACTCCTAAGGCATTGCTGGTGATTGTAGCTCCCACAGCTTCTTTCTTAGGCTGGCTTTGCTGCCTCCTTGCAGCTTTCCTTAGATCATCCATATTCCTGGCTTTTCCAAACTTCTGGGAAGTCTCACTGCACCTTTGGTTTCACATTCACAGCTTCACAAACTGCCCGCTCAGAGACAAACTGCCTGGCCTCCCAGGCCTTCTGAAATTGGGGTGGAACCTTTTTAGCCTCAGGACTCTTGCATTCTATATGCACCTAAAATCAGCACCATGTGGATGATGCTGAGGTCTGTTGCCAGTTGGAGAAGTAACCAGGCTTTCTTCTCTCTTGGCTAGAGAGGTTGAGTGCCTGGATTGCTGAGCACTGTGAATCCAACACTGAGGAACAAATCTTTTATGCTGCAGCCATTCTGGAACATGGTTCTCTGCAGCTTTTGCCTCAAAGCAAAGCCTTTCACTTTTTTGGGTTTTTTTTGTCTTTTTCCTTTTTATTGGTACCGGGGATCGAACTCACGACTGCCTGCTTTCAAGGCAGGTGCTTATGCCGCTAAGCTAAACCTCCAGCCCCAAGCCTTTCACTTTTGCAGTTGTGAGGTGGCAAAGATTTGAGACTTGCTTCTTTCCGTGATGCCTTCAAGCCATCCTTTTTAGTCTCCTGCTCCTTTTCAACAGTTGAGATTTTCTCAGCTCTATCTTTGCAGTCCACACTTTTATTGGAACTTCTTTTCTGGACAAACTCATGATATTTTAAATCATACTGTTGGGCTCTTTGCTCTTGATTTTCAATATAGATCTAGCCAAAAGCTCCCAACTATAGCCATGCTACAGCCTCAACACTCAACAGCTTTGAAATTTCTTTTGCCAGATTAATTAGTCCACTGCCCTTAATCTCAGGCTCAAGGAAAATCTTTGCATATGAGCATAATGCAGACAAACTTTTTGCCGAGTCATAGCATACACCATCTGCAGCATGCAGATCAGCCTTTCCAGCAGAAAACTCCTGAGCCCAGTCTTTACCAGCAGAATTTCTATCAGACTTTTCATCTTCTGTGCTCTGACCAGAACTTCCAATATAGAATACCCTAAGGTGTTCCAGATCTATGCTTTGAGGCAACATCTCAAAACCTTTCTAAATTCTTCCCACAAGCCATTCCCAAAGGCTCTTGAACCACATGGTCAGATATAGTCACGGCAATGACCCTACTCCTGATACCAAATTCTGTCTTGGTTAATTTCTTCAATTTGCTGAGGCAAAATATCTAACACCAAAACTGAAGCAAGGAAAGATTTATTTAGCTCACTGTTTGTGGAGGTTTTAGTCCACAATCAGCTGGCTCCAAGGCAAGGTGACATGGCACTGGGGCAACACTTCAAGGCAGCAACCAGCAAAAGCAATCAGAGCAAAATGGTGAGAACAAGCCTCTGCTCTTCCCCTATATTGTAAATAGGCTACCCACCCGCCAGGACAGGTGTAGCACTCACACCACCTCTGTGTCCTCCACCTGTACAGGCTAAGGATATTTACAAAGTAAGGAACCTGGTTTTCTGATGAATGTCTTAGTTACATTTCCAAAATTCTCAAGGTGACACAATGTGTCAACCATAACAGTGGTAGAGCTGTTAAGAAGTGGACATATTTCCAGTTTAGAGGCTGGAAGATGACTTCTGAGTGTAAGACTGGACTGAGGAGATTATGGTGTGAGAGAGGGTGGCTTCCCAGGAGCATGCTGTCCTTGAGGTTTTCCACTCCTAAGACAGAGAATATTGTTTTCCCAAACTGAGACTTACTCCACAACCAGTATTCAACATTTTGTGAAAATTTTGTCTTATGCATATTCTTTTTCTGTAGCTAATGTTTCATTGCTTTTCCTTTATCTAGTGTTTGCATCTAAGTTCTCAAAGTTCTAGATTCCTTGACTCACTTCAACTAGGAAAAATTTGGGTTCTGTGCTTATTGGTTTTTGTTGCTGAAGTCTTCCTTGTCAAAAATTTTAAATATTCTTTACATTTTACCACTTATTTCTACAGCAATTAATTGTTCCTCCTTAAAGCTCTTGTTTGCTGTGACTTTTGGATTTTATTTCTTAGCAATTTTTGAAGTTTCTTCTACCATCTATCTCATGATATTTATTTGATTTCTCTCTGCCTCTCTCTGTCACTCTCTCTCTCTCTCTCTATATATATATATATATATATATATATAAAACATATATATATATATTTCTCTAATATCTCTTTCTATACATATGCTACATTCACTGCTTATTACTGTTTAGACACACGACAATCCCGACAAAGTCATTGGATGAAAGGACACACTTTAAATGACCAGTATATACAATTGGCTTTTCATTTGTAGGTAACCTTAACATCTGCTGGGAAAGTTTAATGGTATTTATATCTTTGATATTCACACATATTCATACCTTTGTCAGATATAGAAAAAAGCCAAATTTCAAGGTGGGACACAGAAATTTGCCGGAGTAGTAGCAGAAAGAAATAAATTTGACTTTGAAAGAAAGTGACTTTGGTCCAGCACAGTAGTAGATATAGTATTTCTAGACTTGCTGTGTTAGTAATATTTAAAGAGGAAGAGTGAGTGTAGAATTCCAGGTTTAAAGTACCGATTCTCATCTGCTTGATTTCTCACTGTTAGGCAAAGAAATGTGACTATAGAGTCACAGGACTCGATCCTTTTTCCCATCACTTTTCCATAGCTTGGGCAGACTCTATATTGATGTATTCAACCAAGACTGCATCTCCCAGACCCAAACTCATGTATTGAACTACATATTTTCTATGTTATCTATAAGAATCCAAGAACAGAGGATGTGAGTATGGAGGTGACTGTTGAAACCTCTTCTGTACCTCTCTTCTGCTGCCCAGGAATACCCTAGCCCAGCTAAACACTTGACTTCAGAAACACTTTATATTCAGACAGAGATCATAAACTGAGTCTGCGTGTATTTTTTGCCCATCTGTCAACACTTATCAACCCATACTAGAGAAACATCAGACTCCTGTTGTGTGGGTTGCACCCTGCAGTGAAATGGTCAACAAGGAAGTCCATTTCTGTTCAGCTTATTTTAAATTACTAGTATTAAATTAGTAGTATCAGTTAATACATTTTGTAATTGGTGACCAGAGATAATGCCCAAAATAATGAATCTTCTCCTCCTTTATCCTGAGGGTAAGATGTCCCAAAATACCTACTAGAAAATCTGGAAATCTGTTTTGTCCAGAAAGCAGTCATAATATTTGTGGAAAGAGAGTTACAAGGAAACAAAAATTCTAAACTCTATCCTTCACAAATATACCCATGAAAGGTTGAAATATATGTTACAAGTCCCAAAGAAAATAAAACAACATAAAAACCAAACTACAAGACATTTTGTCTTTTCAGATATACATAAAAGCCCATGGTGATTTGTTTTTAAAACACTTTAAGTTTGGGGGAGGAGCAAAGATGGTGGATAGAT